CCACCAATCAGAACCTCGACACACAGGTTTCCACCAATGAGAATGTGTGAGGAGAAGCAGGCTCTGCATTCATTTATCCTCAGGCAGGAGTTGCAGGTGGAAAAAAGGACCACTCAGGACTTCCCCACTCAAAACCTCTGCCTGGCACTTGGCCACGAAGCTCTCCACTGTCTTCTCCTCATCCTGATGACAGGTCCTAGGGGTGAGAATCTCTTCCTATCACTATTGCTGTTTTGCATCTTGGTAATCCAATTTTACATTTTGAGTGACAGTAGTCACACACTAATTTTGCCGGTTTCTTCAAAAGCCTCCTGAGTTCACAAGTAAACAAGAAGCTTCAGAATTATCCAAGCCAAACTTGGATTCTTGGTCATCATAAAACACATCCAGGGGGCCGGATGTATAGCTCAGTGATTGAGTGCATGCTGGAGACCCTGTGTTCTTACACACACACACACACACACACACACACACACACACACACACACACAACCCCTTGGCAAAAGAGCCTTTGCTGCCTCACGCTAGTCGGATGAAATGAAGCTGGGTGGATCTGTGTGCACCGCCAGGGGCCTCTGTTAGTGCTAGTGGTTCTTCGAGCACCAGCTGCTCCACCATCCTCCTTTACCATGGCAACATCTCCGGGGAAATCTCTGCTGTGGGAGGACTTTGTTCTTCGGGTTGCCGTGGCTGATTCTGAGCCTCCCAAGCCCCAGAGACTACCCACCCTGTGTGCACATCCCTCCTCCTCAGTGCAGGGACCCGAACTTGAGGCTCAGGCTGTCAAAGGTTGGGATCCTTGCTTAAACAGTAGTAACAAGTCTGTGAGTGAGGATGGAGACTGAGGGATGCTTGTCCCAGCTCCATAGCAGCTTTTAGAAGTGGGGGTATGTGCTTGATGAGGTGTGAAAGGTGGCAGAGAGGGGAACGCTTATCATCCCACTGATGTTTAGAAACTGAGATGTCCTCTGGACCTTCATCCACCACATGAGCTACACTAGAAAGGGATATTGGGTAGGCTCCAGGGCTGCCCCACATGGCGAAGGGAGGCCCTAGCCGAAGCCAGGACTGGCTGTAACCGCTTTCCTCTTTGGTCCAGAAGGCTGTAGAAAGGGTGAAGGATGAAGAATAAGTTCTCCACATTCAGGAAAGCCAGTGCATGCCCGAGGCCCAGACTCTCCCCATCCCTGGACTCTCAATATACCAACAGTGGGGGGGGGGGTCACTGTATCGTCAGAGCAATATCACTCAGACAGGTCAGTGACTTTCCCAAGGTCACAAAGGTTAGCCAGGGGTAGAAATCAAGACTCCTGGTGTAGCATGAATCTTAATTGGTCTTAATAAAAACCTGGAGCCAGATATTGGGGTAAATGCTGAAAGATTAGAGAGATAAAGGAACAAGTGCTATGGGATGGTCTGTATGTCAAATGTGTTGCTGATTGGTCAATGAATAAATCACTGATTGGCAGTGGCCAGGCAGGAAGTATAGGCGGGACTAACAGAGAGGAGAATTGAGAGAACAGGAAGCTGGGTGGGGGAGACACTACCAGCTGCCATCAGGATAAGGAAGATGTAAAGTACCGGTAAGCCACAAGCCACGTGGCAAGGTATAGATTAATAGAAATGGATTAATTTAAGCTGTAAGAACAGTTAGCAAGAAGCCTGCCACGGCCATACAGTTTGTAACCAATATAAGTCTCTGTGTTTACTTGGTCGGGTTTGAGCGGCTTGGGACTGGCGGGTGAGAGAGATTTGTCCTGACTGTGGGCCAGGCAGGAAAACTCTAGCAACAAACAAACAACAACCACCTCTCACCTCACCAACAACTCAGCCAAAAGGGACTGAGTTCCTGTCTCCTCCCATCTTTTATTCCTCTCTCTGCCCAGCCATATCACTTCCTGTCTCCACCTCCCTAGTGCTGGGATTAAAGGCATGAGATCCCAAAGGCTGGGATCAAAGGTGTGTGCCACCACTGCCTGGCTCTGTTTCTCTTTTAGACTGGATCAGTCTTGTGTAGCCCAGGGTGGCCTTCAACTCACAGAGATCCATCTGCCTCTGCCTTCTGAGTGCTGGGATTAAAGGTGTGGGCCACCACTACCTGACCTCTATGGCTAACCGGTGGCTTAGCTCGGCACTCTGATCTTCAGGCAAGCTTTGTTAGATCATAAAACAAAATATCACCACATCCTGGTCTCCGTTCCACTCCCCTTTCAACCTTACCTCTGTGTGGTGGTTAACTTTGACTGTTGGCTTAAGAGACACCTAGATTAGCAAAGCCCTCTTCTGGGAGTCTGTGAGGACATCTCAAGAGATGGTTAACTAAGGAAGGGAGACCCGACTCTGAACGCTGAATGTGAAGGTCCACATGGGACCAGAGAGGAAGAAGGAGGAATTCCATCCATGCAGGCATTCTCTCCCTGCTTCCTGACTGTCAGGCGTGCAGCCTCCTGTGACATGTGATCCCATCACCGTGAAATTCTATCTCCCCACAGGCCATACCAAAGGAGCCAGCCAACCATGGGCTGGAACTCCTGAAACCATGAGCCGGAATATGCCTTTCTTCTTCACATAGTGTATGTTGGGTATTCTTTCATAGCGATGAAAGTGGTTAGTATATTGGAGGCCTGATTGCCACCCTGTACTCTCAGGGCCACCCTCTATAGGTGACCATCTGGGGACAGATGGATGAAGAGGAGGTACAGGGGTGTTGGAAACATCAAGTCAGTCAATAAACACAGCCTGCTGCTGTCACCCCATGGCTTTATTATAGTCTCTCTGTTGAGGGCCTAGGAAGCCATTCTGCAACAAATCTATGTCAATACACTGTAAAAAGCAACAAATGAATGGTGTATTTGTTTGGGTGCCTTTAGTAATGTGGGGAATGGGTGAGAGCCCTCTCTTGTAGGAACCCCCCAGTTCTTATGTCCATCACTCTCTTAAGTGTCTTATGGCACCCTAAAATAACGCACACCCAGAGAGCCTACATTCTCCTCCCTACCCCTTCTTGCCTCTCTCTGACCTTCTCTTTCTTCCTGTGATCTAGGGAGTCTGTATCCCCAACTCCAGGTTCAGTGATCTTCGTTCACCATTGCTCATGTGACTCGCCTGTCAATCACCACGCCTCCAGATGCACTTAGATCCCTGTGTTCCCATGGTTTACTGCTGCTTCTCTAATTGCCATCCTGCTTCCACTTTGTTCCCTTCACAATCCATCCTCTGCAGGCCATGGAGTGACGCTTCTAAAATCTGAACTCCATTACATCACTCACCTGCACACTCAGACCCTCCCTGCCTTTGTACACGGGGCTCTGGAGCTCATCTCTCTCCTGCTCCCACCCCAGAGTAGTGGCATTTATTGTGTTCGTGTGTGTCACACTGCAGGTCATTGCCTATGAACTTTGCTGTCACTCATAGCCAAGAGAGGATGTGGAAGGTCTTTGACCTGTGCAAAGTTGGTGTTGAATACACACACACACACACACACACACACACACACACACACACACACACACACACAGGATGGAAAGGGTGTAAGCACCAAGGCCGGTCCTTGCGCTCCATCCCAGACTGTCCCTGGGCACTGTGAGTCAAATGACACATGGGGTCTTCTGGGGTATCATACAGGCTTTTCTGGTCACAGGACTTGGAATAAGTACTTTCAACTAAATACCCCTCAGTACCACAGGCTGTCCTGACACTGCTTCAAACACACATTTTATGGACACATGACAGGAGGGGAGACTACAATAATTAATTTTAACTGTCAGCTTTATAGGGTTAAGAAACATCTATGGGTGTGTGTGTGTGTGTGTGTGTGTGTGTGTGTGTGTGTGTGTGTATGTGTGTGTGTGTCTCGGGGGTAGTGTGTATTCCTGTGTGCACATGTGTGTGGAGGCCAGAGGACAACTTCAGTGTCCTTCTTCAGGTACCATCTACATTGAATGATTGATTGATTGAGAGGTGGTCTCTTACCAGGCTGGCACTTGCCAAGAAGAAGAATATGCTGGCTAACCTCTGAGGCCCAGGAACCTGCCTTTCCTTATTTCCCTTTGCTGGGATTAGGAGCAAGCCACAAAGCCTGCCTTTTTTGAGTAGGTTTTTAGGATCAAATTCAGGTCCCTGGTGCATGGACTGAGCCGTCTCCCCAGCCTCCCCAGGGGCACCAAGGAGACACACCTTACTGTGTGAGAGCGAGAGAGGTCTCCAGAGAGAGTTGAACGAACACCTTTCTGAATGTGGTACAGAAGACAGAGGGTGGGTGATGACCTACAGTGATGGACTGTGTTGCTCTGAACAGTGAGCCACCAACATAAACCCAGCCTTCTTAAGTTGCTTTTGGTTAGGTCTTTGATCACAGCAACCAGAAAAGGAACTAACACGGTGTGTGTGTGTGTGTGTGTGTGTGTGTGTGTGTGTGTGTGTGTGTGTGTGTGTGTGTGTGTGTGTGTGTTTGTGTGTAGAAGCGGGGAGGGGCAAGAGCTATGTCTAGGCTTTGGTTTTCCATCTCTCTCCTATTTTCTGTAGTTGGGTTTCAGGGTCTCAGATGGCTTTCTGTGCCTGGGCATTTTTTATCTCTGTGGCTCCCTCTTTCCACAGAATTGTGTGAAAAATTCGATTTCCTGACTGGGTTGCTATGAAGATGGATATGTCCCAAGTTCAGTTCATAGCATCCTTCTCAGTTTCCCCTCTCGTTTGAAATAGATTAGAACTCCGTGGGCCCTGATGTCTTGCCACTGGGTAGTTAGTGTACTGGCATGTTCAGAGCAGCCTCTGCCTCTTTATCCTCTACAAAACCTTTCCCTGGAGAGGGCCTGGCCAGGCAGGAGCTCCTGGGGTGTTCTGCGCACACTCAGAGAAAGTCAGGAGGCTTTGCAGGTTGTGCATGGCTATGTAACGGCATCTGAAAGCATGGTAACAGGGAGCCATTGTGAGACCCTCTGGGTGCTCCTGCCCCTACTAGAACAGTGCTCACGTAAGCCTCTCCCCAACATCATCCCCAGCCTGTCACATGGTCACTCATCGCCAAACGGCAGCACCTGACAAGCCATGGGTCATTGAGGAGCCGAATGATGTAGATGGAATCACAGATCGGAGCTAATGATGGAAGCAGCCCTCATAAAGCCAGATGTGAGGAGAGTGCACAAGACATGCTAACGATGAAGGGTACCCAGGAGCAGGAACTGACTGGATTCTAGAATTCCCATGAGTAAGGTGGGTTTTTTGTTTGTTTGTTTGTTTGTTTTTTTAAGCTTCAAGGAGAAGAGAGATGTCCCATTGGGAAGGGGCATTTCATATGAAAGCAAGGAGGATGGAAACCTCAGTACTCTGAAATTACAACCATAAGCATTCATGGCTGCAGCTTCCTCCCAGAGAAGGGGAGGGTCCTGCCACCATCATCCCCTGAGCAGAGTATGCATGCAGGACATGGGGCCATGCCCCTGGTAGAGCTGACACTTACTCCGTGTATTTTGCTTTATCAATAATTAAAGTGATGATATTTGCGCTCTCACTCTCCATTTCAGATGCAGCAAGATAAGACTTTCGGTGCAATAAAAGAATGAAAAAGAATTCCTGAGGCAAAGCTCACTGCATCATCTCTGAGTTTGGCAAATCAAAAGGTCCAGCTCTCTATGAGGCTAGATTCCCCCAGGCTCCAGATTAGTTTGGGAAACGTTCTTAAAGAGTGAGAATGGTTTCCGTTATGGCCTCCACTGCTTGCCCCCTCCCCTTTTCCCACTTAGGATGGAGCCCTCTTCATGGAGGCCTCACATAAAGCCAACAGCTGTGAGGAAGACGTTCTGAGGACACTCTTCTTTCACCCTGTCCAGGGCCCGACGTAAGGGGTACAGAACATCTCAGTCCCAAGTAGGTGATCCTTCTTAAACCCTTCTCTTGAGGAGCACATATGATCCTCAGGTGGGCTGAATGACTCACACAAGCACCGTGGAACAAAAGTAGCCCCTCAGGGAGCTGGGACTTGGATACCACCTGACTTGGATCATTATAGACAAGCGTAGACGGTAGCAGCACCTTGTGGGCATTTATCAGGATCTTCTAAACCAAAGAGAGACCATGTTTAGCTGAGTGGAAATTGAAGTTGACTACGGTATGAGTCGCTGTTCTACTGCTATAGGGAGACATCATGACCAAGGCGATTCTTATACAAGAGAGCATTTAATTGAGGGCTGGCTTACAGTTTCATGGGGTTAGTCCATTATCATCACAGTGGGCAGCATGGTAGACATGGTGCTGGAGAAGATCTATATCCTGATCTGCAGGGGTGGGGGAGAGAAGGAGAGCGAGAGAGTGAGAGAGCATGAGAGGGAGAGGGAGTGTGTCTGTGTGTGTGTGTGTGTGTGTGTGTGTGTGTGTGAGAGAGAGAGAGAGAGAGAGAGAGAGAGAGAGAGAGAGAGAGAGAGAGAGAACAGAGCCCACCACCAGCAACACACACCTCCTCCAACAAGGACACATCTCCTAATCCTTCCCAACAGCTCATCAGCTGGGGACTAAGCATGCAACTTTATGAGCCCATGGGCGGAACATTCTCATCCAAGCCACCACAGCTACTGACACTCCCCTAAGTAGAAATTTGAACCTGACCATGAATTAAAGGATTTTATAGGCAGAGAGGTACCATGAGAAAGTCTCATTCCAAAGTCAACATGCTGGCCAAGCAGTGGGTGTGCTGCTTCTCGGCTTTGCCTGCGGCTTCAGATCTCAGGGTGCATTATGACTTCCATCCTGGTTCTTTGCAAACTTGGAAACATAGCATCCTGCAGCAGAGCTAGGTCCAGGTGTCAGGTCAAAGGGCTATTTGTTCCCATGGAAGCTGTACCAACCTAAGATGAGATCTCTAATTTGTTCTCAATTAGTCATCCGAATAAATGTTCTTCAGCATCTGAGGACAAGATAACCTATGCTATAGTCATCTGCCATCCTCTTCAAGGAAAGACCAGGGCCACTGAAGGCAGTTTATTACGAATATCACCATCTGGGAGTATTTGGATAAAATCATTTTCTAACGTAGGTGTCCTTTGCCTCCAGAATACAAAACATGATAAGTCATTCACTAGATTCTGTGCACTAGATTTTCCCAGGTTTGGCCACCTGCCCACAGGAGCCGTCCAAGTTCACCCACAGCAGATGGGTTGAGAATGAGAAAAAGATAGTGTGTCGGTGCAAAAGACGCTGACGCCTCAAGGCAGTGGGGATGCGGGCGGACAAGGCAATGGGTACCCCCGATGCAGTGAAGAAGCGGGATGGGATTCGTCGCTCACCTCTCACCCAAAGCCTCCCAGCTATCTGCTGTTACCCCAAGTCTGAAGTTGGTCATTTATCCAGCAGCCATTCATTAGGGTCTGACTGTGGACAAGGTCCTGAACTGCCAAAGATACGGAGTAAGATGCCACGTGACCCTGGTTCTTAAAACTCTTATGCCACATTGGAATAGTGACCCCTTACCCCTCCCGGAACCCCTTCTCCTTCTAGTAAGAGAGACTGTGGAATATACAGGAGGCTTATGATGCTCACTGAGAAAGTAAATTGTTCTGTGATCAACGTAGAAAGGCAGATTCAGTGACAAGAGTTTGTGATAATTGGGGCCAGGTGCAAAGTGGCAACAGAGAGGGCCAGGAAGCTCATCTGGTCCAATTGTCTCTGTGATCAAGGCCATACCCTGCCTTAACACGGCCAGAGGACCATCCCTGAGCAAGACGTGGGACCTCACAATGAATGTTTGTTGGGCTACAAGGCTTTCCCAAATTCTATTAGCTCTCAGTTTCTATTGTGCCAAGAGAATTATAGATTTATTTTTTTTAAATCGATTCCTTCCTTCCAACAAACTTATTCATATTCTTTGAACTTAAAGATGAAAAAAAAATCAAATGCAAAGTCTGCAAGTTTCTCTGGATCTTCTGACCTACTTTTGGAGAAAGGAATTCTTGATGGAAGTATGAGCGAAAGACATCCTTTCAAAGGGTTCTGAGATATGCTGTTAGAGGCACGGAAGAGCTGCCTTCTCTGGGCTCCCTCCAAAAATCTATACATGAGCAGTGATGTCTAAGCCAATGCTTTGCTGCATGTCCCCCACATCCATACTGACACAGTGATCCTGGGGTAGGATGCCAAACCGTTCTCCTCCAGCCTTGTGCTCCGCTGCCCACTGGCCCGAATCTTCAGCACAGGCTTTGGTTCTGAATATCCACATCCTAGGGGAGCTCCTGGAGCCGGGGGCTTAGGCCCTGTCCTTCTCCACCAAGTTCCTGCTTGCTTCCAATGGTGTAACTTGGTGTAGTGCTCTGACTCATGCCTGTACCATCTGTTCCCCTGAAGTTCCACCTGCCCTGTTCTTGTCTGTGTTTCATGATCCAGGACGTGTCTCCAAAATGTCATGGTTGGAAACCTAGTCCCCAAATTCACATAGTGATGCCATGTAGAAGTGGGGTTTGTAGAGGAGATTGGGCTTAGATGAGGTAATGATATCTACAATGGCACCAATGGCTCCCCAAGAAAAGGAAGAGAGACCTGAGCTAGACATTTGCTCTGTCTTGCCTTGCCTTACTTCCTCCCAGGCTGCCATGCAGCAAGAAGGTCCTTTCCAGATGCCGTCCCACACTGCTTAACTTCCCAGCTTCCCTCAAACATGAGCCATATAGACTCTGGTCTGTATAAATCAATTGAGCACAAGTATTTCATGACAGTAACAGGAAATACACTCTCATCCACTCCTGTGCCACTTTATCTGGGGACCGTGAACTTCACCCCACAACACACACACCCTGACTTCTGTCTGTGCTGGGATGCTTATTGGGACATTTTTATTCTCCTCACTTCTTACAACCCAAGGTTAAAGCCAGCACACCGACTTCTTCCCTACTCAGTAAGCCAAGTAAACCCCCATGCTTTCCTCCTGCAGAGAAAAATCAACTCCCAAATTTTGTGATTTCCTATGTAAAAATTCAAAGCTCACATCATGCACATGCATGAACACACACACACACACACACACACACACACACACACACACACACACACATACACACACACACACACACACACCAAAAAAATGAACTCCCAAATTTTGTGATTTCCTATGTAAAAATTGAAAGCTCACATCATGCACATGCATGCATACACACACACACACACACACACACACACACACACACACACACACTAAGAAGTCAGGAAACACATTGACCAGGGTGGTTTGTTTTTCTTAGTACTCAAAGCCCTGAATGCTGTGACAACTGATCTGCCCTGGCAAAGGGAGATTGTCTCAGTTTGTTCTTGGAGCAGGTGAAATTGCTGCCCTGAGCTGGGGCACATTCTGTATTCCAGAAACCTCTGGGTCCTATGTAGAGATGGCCAGTACCTGCTTTCAGGTACATCCACATCTTGAAGTTCTGGTAAAAATAAAAGGAAATAGTCCAAATAAAGCATCTAATACAGAGTTGGGCACATGACATTACATGTGCCCACAAATGATGCCCACTCACAAATGATGATGCGTATATTGGTACTGTGACTGCTAAGAAAGTCACACCCTGGCTCAGAATCTAAACAGTGGGCAGACTTGGGGGCTGGACTTGGGGAGTCTGCAAAGCTGTTTTTCTAAGTGTCCTAAATCCTGTGATATGATTTGACCTAGAATGTTCTCCAAAGGCCTATGTGCTGAAGGTTTGACCCTTGGAATTATCAGGAGTTAGCAGCACCCTTAGTGGGTAGAGCCTAATAGGAGGACTGTAGGCCATTGGGGATGTACTATTGAAGGCAGTATTGGGATCTTGGTCCCTTCTTGTTTCTTACTTTGCCTCCTGGCCACCGTGAGATGAGTAGCTATGGTCGACTCCTGTTCCCTAACATGATTTTCTGTCTTGCTATAGTCTCCAAACTCTGAAACCTTCAATCAAAATCAATCTTTCTATGTTTTTATATCATTTCTCTCAGGCACATGTCATAACAATGAGAATCAGATTGACATAGCTGGGCCAATGGGACTATCATCCTATTTATTGAACATGTAGTGTGGATGACTCTAAGCTAAGCACTTGGCCTATCTTCTCTCTCTCTCTGTGTTTTCTCAGAGTTCTACTATGTAGGCAGAAAAGAAGGAGCTAGAGCAAGGTTGTATTTCCCATGAACTGAACAGAAGAATGAAGATATCTGGACCCAGGGCCTGGGCCTAGGACCCCTTCTGTAACATGCTGTTTACACACTCAGCCCTTTATCAAACACGTAGAACATCAATGTTATGGATGACACTAGATTTGGTACAGAGGTGACAGGGTGGTAGAGAGTCCTGGGGTCCGTTGTTAGATTGGGAGTCAGGCAATTCTCAGAGACCTTTATCTGGCCCAACAGCTAGAGATGAATCACACGTGCTTCTATGATGTGAGCAGTCTCCTGCCTCAGGCTGCTGCAGGCGATCTTGGCACAGCAGGCTCCCTTTCTCCTTGGGTTAGATCCAGGAGCCCTCTGGTTCCAGTTCAGTCAGCAACTGGAGAATGGGAGCTCACTACTTCCAGTCAGGGGAGCTAGAAATAGTTCAGGCTTGGCTCATTTGGGTCCAGGGATCAGTGCAAATGACTGTCATGGTCTTTCGTGGGCACTACATGTTCATCCCAAAGTTGACAGGAAGCCGAGGAAACGCCTCTGCATGGGCTACCATGCTAAAGCTAGGGAAAGTCTGTGCACTGACTGAAATGGAAAGCTTCTGGCGCCTCCACGGTTCTAAAGTCCACTCGATACAACTCTGGGGCTGCCTCCTCCCTGCCCACCTCTCCATGTAGCTCTCCTCCTCTGCTCCTGTAACCAGGCAACCAGGGAAGCTCCTGGATCCCTGAGTGACAGCTGTAAGGGCCATGTGCTCTGCAGTGGTCACCGACACCTAGAACATTCTGAAGACCCATGTAACCAAAGTGTCATTGTCGAAGTGGAAAAGCAGAAAACACAAATAAATACCATAATTAAGTTTAGGAAAGGGCTGTTGCATCCATCGTCTTCATATTTATAATTCTAGGTAACCGAAAAGTCACCTGCTAATTACCCTTCCCTTCCCTTCTTGTTGGCCTAAGATGCTAATTACTCTTTGGGAAATTGCAATGCAGGGCGCACTATTTTAGTCAGCACGAAAACCTTCATAACTAAGGATGCAATCCAAACTCCATGTGCTGTTATATTGTGTATTTCCATTCTCTAAGTGGCCATCTGAGAGTCAGTATGGAAGCCCACATGGTCAGGCTGGTAGCTGTTCTGCCGTTGTCTGCACGTGGCGCACAACTCTCGCTGGCCACTTCTGCTCAAGCTATCAGAAATAGAGAGCATGAGTGAAGAGACACTCTGCCGGGAGGGCCTGGAGAGACAGACGCTCAGTGGTTGAGAGCACAGACTCCTCCCAGAGGACCTACGTTAGGATCCCAGCACCTGTGTGGTGGTTCACAACTATCTGTCCCTCCAGTGCCAGGAGATCTGAGACCCTCTTTTGCTCCCACCCCCACCCCAGGTATTAAGCACGCACGCACGCGGCACATATACATATATGCAGGCAAACACTGGTACACAAAAAAACCACCATAAATGAATCTGCCAAAAATTAAAAAAAATAAAGCGTAGCCTGGGAATAACACAAGTGATTTGCACTTGTGTTCAGGGCTAATTACATCTTCACTGTAGGAGAGTCTGGGGATTGTAATATAAGACAGATGGCACCCGGCAGGCCATATTTCTACTTATGGAGCAGGGAAAAGAGCTGGTCACTTCCTCCCCTGGGAGGTGCTCTCTGCGTTAGTCAGCCCAGGATGCCATAAGAATACACTCTCCATTTGTGCTTTAGAAACTCAGTCCTAGAAACTGGAAAGCCCCAAACAACAGCAGATCTGATATCTAGTGAGAGTCAGTATCCTGGTTCGTAGAAGGTCTCCTAACTATACTCATGCTAGGGATGAGTATAGTCCAGGGGTGCCTCGGAGGCCCCTTTCTGAAGGCACCAATCCCATGCTCTGTTCCAGTGGCCTAATCACTTTCAAAGTCTTACCTCCTAATGCATCATCCTGTGGAATTGGTTTCAATATATAAACTTGGGGGGCGGGGAAGCTCCGTGGCGTTTTCTTCCTGACATTTTTCAGCTGAGGAAACTGACGCGTGGAACAATTAAGAAACTCACTCTAGAGCACAGATGATAGAGTGAGGTTCGGGTCCTTTCTTAGCTCAGCTGGCTCTGAGTCCATGCCTCACTTTGGCTGTGCTGGATTCTCACCGCAGCATTGTCTTTTACAACCTTCCGGTCTCCCCACCCTCGCTATCCCTCATGCTTAAGCACCAAAGACATCACTGTCAGGAAATGACTCACAGGTACATGACCTTGGCCTTGAGAAACATATATCACCCATACATATGTTAGCCATAATCAGAGCCCTAGATAGCTGGCAAAGGAGTGGCTGGGCAGGGTGTCCTGCTACAATGACCTATGGGATGGCCAGCTCACCAAGAGCCAGAAGGACCTCAGGTTTGACTCTATATCAGCGGTTCTCAACCTGTAGGCCGAGACCCCTTTGGGGGGGTCACATATCAGATATTTATATTACAGTTCATAACAGTAGCAAAATTACAATTGTGAAGTAGCAATGAAATAATGTTAAGATTGGCAGTGACCACGACATGAGGAACTGTATGAAAGGGTCGTAGCCTTAGGAAGGTTGAGAACCACTGCTCTACATGGAACACAGCCTGGTTCTCCTTAAACAGTGCAGCTCCTGCCTGTTGTCTCGAGAGGCTCAGTTGCTACAGTGGGAACCTGTGAAGCCCGCAGAAGACCTGAACAGCAGCAGCCCTAAATCACACAGCTTCCACTTCCATCAGCTGTGGCGAGGATCTGGGAGGCGTGGCTCTTCTGGACAGAGTTTTCAGAGATGCTATTGTGCCTCTTCAAGACTCAGATACTCTTGATGACCTTATCACCATGGCCCTCTCATCTGTAAAAACAAAACAAGTACTATGTTATGGCTCTTTGGAGTTAAAGAAAAGAAAGGCACTTCTGCTACTTGGAGAAAGTCAGAACCCCTCAGGCCCATCGTTGGAAGCAGACAAAGAAGGAACAGCTTGGAGGATTCCCAGGTAGTTCTTTGAAGTTACTGGCTGAACTATAAGCATGAGGTTACTGATGGCTAGCAGGATTCAGGGTATCTATAGAGACATAAATTTTTATTCCCTATGTCCTGTTTTTGTGGACACATTCAGATTTATTGTTCCAGTCCTACACTCCTCTAAGGTCAACTTCTGGTCGGTTGAGCCCATTACTCCCCATATCTTGTTTTGCCAAGTCCAGGATACATAGATTTCTTATCCCAGCCTTATCTTCCCATAAGTTCAACTTCTGGTCACTTCTAAAACTGCTGGTCCGCAAATACCTTTGGAGGAGGGGAGGGGGAGGCATCTCTCAAGATGGCTGCTGATTTTTCCTTTCATCTGTTAGTCCCACTACTGAGAATAGGTCAACTCTTGTTTTTTTTTTTTTTTTTTTTTTTTTGGTTTTTCGAGACAGGGTTTCTCTGTGTAGCTTTGCGCCTTTCCTGGGACTCACTTGGTAGCCCAGGCTGGCCTCGAACTCACAGAGATCCGCCTGGCTCTGCCTCCCGAGTGCTGGGATTAAAGACGTGCGCCACCACCGCCCGGCGTTTGTTTGTTTTTTTTTTAATCAGTAGGAGTTGAATAAGCTATGAATAACCCATGTTGTGGACCACTATGCAATAACGACAAAGAAGGAGACAGACATTGTATGTGTGTACATATGTATGTCTTTGTGTGTGTGTGTGTGTGGAGGGGCTGAAATCCAACGCAAACGGAGTTCCAGGAGAGGGAGAGAGCCATGCCAATGAATGCTCAGAGCCAGTATTTGTGGAAAAGGCAGCTGCCAACATAGACGCAACGCAAGTGAGGCGTGAGAGTTCTGGAAGGGGGCGGCGGGAAGGAGTTGAGACTGGGATTAAGGAGTGGGGTAAAGTCAGTGTCGACGTTATTGGTGTAACTGGAAAGTAACAGTATAATAAGGGAGGGGCCTTACGCAGTTATTTCTCCTGAATTAAAGCATTCCTTCCTGGAGGGAAGATGTGAGCTTACACAACGTAGGAGGCCTAGTTATCTCAAAAAATTTTGCAACATCAACTAGATCTATCCCCAGCATTATGAAATGAGTGGGCAGTTCCTGGGCAGTTCCTGGGAGAGGAACCCACCCATGGAGGCACCTGGACGTGGCGCAGGGAGCGTAGGGATGCAGGTTTCTTGAGCTATCACTCGTGTTGCTGCAGACCTTTGGGTGATGCAGGTGCCTTTGAGTTACCCGCGCCCCGATAAGTAACCCCTCATCCACATTCCTGGAGGCAGCCCTAGTAAACCCACTGGTTCCTAAAGCTAGACGTGAGTAGAATTTCTTTGGTCTGTGTCAATGCCCAGTCTGGGTTAATAGATGTTTGCTCACATTTTTTCTAACAGTGTTTCCAGTCGAGAAGGGCTTTCTCCTTACTTACTCTTGTCTTTCCCCCGTTTCTCTTCCAGAGACCTGGTGGTTTGAATGAGAAATGTCCCTAATAGGCTCATCTACTTGAACACTTGATCTCCACTGGGTGGCGCTGCTTGGGGAGGTCACGGGACCTTTAGGAAGTGGAGGCTTGCTGGAGGAAGTACGTCACTGGAGGTGGGCTCTGGGGATTGTTTTTGTCCTGTCTGACTTCCTGTTCTTGCTCTTGGCCTCGTGTGTACAGATGACACGTGATCAGTCAGCAGCTAGCGTGATGGACTCTATTTATTCCTTTCGGACTGTGAGCCCAAATAACCCCTTTTCTCCTTGAAGTTGCTTCTGTCAGAGTGTTTCATCACAGCAACAGCAAAGTAACAACTACAAGGGAGGACTCCGATACCCTTGCCTTGCTTCCTGTCCGCCCCTCAGAAGTGCCTCCCTGCTATCAATAGGGGTCTTCCTTTCCTCCCTCCTCCCCGACCACGTCTAAGCGTGTTCCAATGCCTCAGCAAGACTCTATCATCAGCTCATGTGTCACCTTGCTTCCTGGTAGTTGTCTCCTTCCTCCAGACCCATTCATACAGCAGGAGAAAGCAGTTCCACAATTGCAGCCCTCTGCAAGGGTACAAAGAACACGCGCTGCCGGGACTCTGCAGTGGACTGCCACATCGATTTGGTTTTGTCTGTATTGTTGTTTCATCAACCAGCATTTTTCTTTCCCTCCTGGGCCATTTCAGGCTCTGTTTTGTGGAGGTGATTGAAGACACTCTGGAAATTTCATTCAGTTTGAATGACCCATTCAATCCAGATATCCTAACCCTGTGAATGAAAAACAAACACACACACACACACACACACACACACACACACACATACACACACACACACACACACACACACACACACACACACACTCAATCTCCGCCAAGTTCAAAGTCTCAGGGTCGATGAACCGGTTTGTTTTTCTTTAATTATAAAAACAAAATAAGGGCAAGTGAACCTCATGGGCGTGTGTAAGAAGGAAGAGCTGTAAGCTGGGAGAAATAAAGATAAATCCATCATGCCTCTCACAGTGAATGATGGTGCAATTAAACAGAGCCAGTCTGACGGCTGTTAATGCCCTCATGTACTGTGTTCTTACGATCCGGGCCGTCACCCTCATGTTTCCTGTCACCCGATCTGAAGATCACAGATCCGAGGAGGGGGCACTTCCCTTGCTAAGATGCTGAGTTATGCCAGGCAGCATCGAAAAGTAGGTCAGTGGGTCACCGCGCAAACCTGTGTACAAAGGGAGTCTGTCTGATGCCAGCAAGGGCCAGCCCTTCAGGAGCCAGGGGAGTGCTGACAGAGTTCCTGCAAGAGGACCCAGATAGGAAGAACCTGCATTCTGGGGAGCAAGAGAGCCCCTCAAAACGAGAGTAAGCTAACTATACGTGAAGATGTGGACAGAGGGTGAGATAGGTCAGGAAAATCTGCACTGGAACTGTGGACATCTGTGTACTGCAACTGTGGACATCTGTGCACTGCAACTGTGAACATCTGTGCACTGCAACTGTGGACATCTGTGCGCTGTAACTGTGGACATCTGTGTGCTGCAACTGGGTGCGCTGCAACTGTGGACATCTGTGCACTGCAACTGTGGACATCTGTGCACTGCAACTGTGGACATCTGTGCACTGCAACTGTGGACTTCTGTGTGCTGCAACTGTGGACATCTGTGCACTGCAACTGTGAACATCTGTGCACTGCAACTGTGGACATCTGTACACTGCAACTGTGAACATCTGTGCACTGCAACTGTGGACATCTGTACACTGCAACTGTGAACATCTGTGCACTGGAACTGTGGACATCTGTGCACTGCAACTGTGGACATCTGTGCACTGCAACTATGGACATCTGTGCACTGCAACTGTGAACATCTGCACTGCAACTGTGAACATCTGTGCACTGTAATTGTGAACATCTGTGTACTGTAACTGTGGACATCTGTGCACTGCAACTGTGAACATCTGTGCACTCGAACTGTGAACATCTGTGCGCTGCAACTGTAACATCTATGCGCTGCAGCTGTGAACATCTGTGCACTGCAACTGTGGATATCTGTGACTTTGAAGCAGCAAACAGTCGGTGCATCCAGAGCAGTGAGGAGCTCAAATGTGAGGCAGATTTCCTCTCACGGCTTGGGAACTTAGCAAAGAACAACAAGGCTGATCATGGGAAGCACAGCTGTGCAGGTGGTGAAGAAGCCTGGAGGCTCAGGGTAGGAGTTGCCCCCCACCTGCGTCCCAAGCAGAAACCTAAACATCCAGCCTCCAGCACCCTAGGTGGAAGGCTCCATCCATTGCTGTCTGTCACAATGAAGCATTAGGGCAGGGTGGGGCTTGCAAATGATCTGATCACCCCACAGTGGATTCAACCTTTCTATCTCTTTTTCCTCCCCAAACTTTCCAGCCTGTGGCTTTGTGCAGTTTTCCTGTGTAGAGGCTGAAGGCGGGGGCCTGTGGGTGGGCTCTGGAGACACTTGGGTGACCTTCCCATTTGTTCTCCAGCCCCCAAGGACACGCATTGTCCTGTTTCTGCCCTGCAGATACACAGGCTGAAGCTTCAAGTCCTCACTAGCATGTTGCTCCCTCACATCGGTTCCTTGGTTTTCTTGCTACTCAGTGGCGCCGGTGGTCTGTCCTGCAGGACTCATGGCCATCCCGGTCACTATGGAGCCCTTCAGCTCCTCAAGCATGGTCTTTGCCTGGGCAATGAGAGATCTTTGCCAAAGATGGGTATCATCTTATCCAGTTAATATTTGTCCAGTGCCAGAAGGTTGGGTTTATTTATTTATTTTTAACAGAAAAGTCATGTGAAGGATCCAGAATGGGGTTCAGCCTGGAATAATGTAAACAGTTTGAAAGATTTTTTTTTTCAGGACAGCGTGAGAAAGATTGACAGTGTCCCCAGAAGCTAGAGAGCTCATTCCTCAGAAAGGATGGTCTCTTGGGTGGTGTCAGGAAGCCAAGGAGGGCCAGAGACACCTGGCCCCAGGTCTGCTTAGGTAAGGAGGCCCACTTTCCCATGCCAGGGCTGCCAGGAATTTCCACCCTCATGTTCCAGGGCTGCTTTTTGATCAGAATTCAAGATGGCGGGTCTGGGCACTTTGACTAAGTAGGAAGGTAGCTACTGCCTGTAAACTAGGACTGTCCCGTCAAACACATGCTCCAGGTCTCAGTCCTGGGACTGTGGGAAACACATCCCCGGGACAGTGGGAGGAGAATGGCTTAGGGATAGTCTGGGATTCTGGGCTCTCTTCCCATATGATATTGACTCAGAAATCAGAGCCCCAAATGTCACAACTGACTTGGCTCTGACTTGCCTGACCCTAAGGAGATGCATACTGTAACCTTCTGGGAGAAACAGAGATGGCCCACCCTGTGCTCAGGCCCCCACCCTGGGCAGTCTTGGTCCATGGATTCACTCCTCACCCTCGGACCTGCACATCTGGCAGGTTTCTTATGGGTCTATCTGGTTGATTTCCTTTCTCTTCTGGCAGCTGTTTACATGGCTTCCCCTCCTCTTAGATTTCAGGCTGCAAAAATGAATCTGATTTACTCACAATGGCAACTGCTTTACTTACAGATACCTTCCACAGCCAGCAGGGATAGGTAGGCTGTGCAGAGGCCCCAGACCCTGTACCCTACTGCTATCCAGGTTTCCTGGAAGGTGACATTAGTCCAGAAAGTGTTACTGGCACTCCAGGTCCACTCCATTATTACTTATGAGAAACAAGACATTTAATTATTACTATGTTTAGAAAATTCCCCAGGGCTTCAAACTCATGAGCTTAAATGTTTCCCACCATGTAAAGCTATGATTTGTTGCCTGCCCAAATGTTCTCTGTGTAAAGAGGAAGAGATGGTCATCACAGCCAAACATACCACATCCTACCAATCTCCAGGATCAAAGCTGGGGCTACTGGGCATGAAGCTGGTTTGTACCTAAGAAGCCGTCCGGACCCCAGGACCCCAGAAGGCACATTTCTGCATCACAGAGCTGACTCAGGTCGGTCAAGCAGGAAAAGATGCTTTGAGGTATAAGATGCAATCTCTCTGCCTCCCAGGACCCCACAGGAACCTCACAGGAAATGGGGGAAACTGTAGGAGATAAGAAACACCCTAAGGGATCAGAAGTAATCAGAGCAGGAGTGTTCACAAAGGGACTATGATATTGATGGAGCTCTTGTAGGTCTTTTTCCAGGCAGGGGTTTGATGGGGTTCATGGGAGGCAGGGGGAATGCTGTTCTATATAAGGGATTTTCTGTAGTGTACACAGAGTCTGGCCATGGGCTAGTTACCAGAGATGAACACGGTGCAGTCAACTGGGGTTATTAGTATGCTCAGCACACATCACTTAAGTACTTGACTAGTCATGGTGTAGATGAAATCTGTCCTATGCATCAGTGGAAGGCACTTTAATAACCTAGAGGTACCTATGGTGGTTTCCTGTAGTCTCTTGTATAAGGTCACTAGGACATGGTTTGTCCTCAGTGGTTCATGTGTTGGTTGCTTGGTCTTCAGAGTGGCAGTGTTGAGGCTGTAGAACCTTGAGAAGGCAGGGCACAGTAGAAAGTAATTAGGCCATGGAGAAGCAACCTCAGAGGAGATTAAAGAGGAGATCATGGGACTTGATTAGTCATTTTGAGAAAATGTGGCATCTCCCCTGAAACTCTCTTCCACATGGCTGCTCATTATTTTCTCATAATTTCCCATCATTGTGACTGCCTCACTACAGCCACGATACCTATGCCATGTTTTAGAGCTCTAGCTCCTTCAGTACTGTGAACTAAATAAGCTTTCTGCTTTATACAGTGCTCAGTCTCTGAGCAATAGAAAATGGTCCAAGACAGGTCCACACTCACCTCTCATCTGTTAAGGCACTCATCGCACTGTCCCAAGATCCATCTAAATTTGTACCTCTCACACCCATGATATTGAAGATGGTTCAGTAAGAGACCTCATGGTTTATTTATCTTTTAAAAAATGTTATGCCAGCTCAAATAAGAGTTACTCAACATTCACAAAGTACTATGTGCCAGACTTTGTGCGAAGTAGGTCACTTAGTGGTTGACAGTATTTTCCTGATTCTTAAGATGAGGAACTGGCCCGATATCACTTGTTGGCAAATGGTGAAGGCAGGATTTAGATTGAATGTGCTGGCATGCCCAGAATGCTCTTAGCAATTGTACTTACTTCCAGCTCTTTCAATAAACCTTCGGTGTGCCTACTAAGGTGTCTGCTGGCCAGAAAGTCCCCTCCATACCCCTAAGGTACCATTTCAGTACTGACTAACGGTACATTCCAAAGTCGACTTTTGCTACAGCATTGGTACAAAGACTCTAAATGCCATTATCATCTGCTAGAGAGCAGCAGCCATGAGCTATTCATCTTTGTTTCTCTAGAAACTCATTTAAAACCTTGTAGATAGAAAATGCTCATCATCTGTTGAATTGAATGGAATGTGTTTATTTCTCATCTAGAGTTATAGGAGGGCCCTGTGTGTAGGGACTTTTCAGACAAAATAACATTGATCATTTGTCAAACTATAACCACAACATGTTTGATAATAATCTTAAAGAAAAACACAAGAAAGAAGGGCTCTCTGGCAGAACTTGGATCTGAATATGAATCACGCCCAGAGATTTCTACAAGTACTCATGAAAAGTGGCTCTGATGGTTGCCATGAGAACTATCATTTGAGACTTCTGTAGTACCATAGCGATAGTGCAGTAGCACTGCAGGTGTGCATGTGGTGTGTGTGTGTGTGTGTGTGTGTGTGTGTGTGTGTGTGTGTGTGTGTGTGTATGTGTGTGTGTAATGCAGAGCATGCATAGAGAGAATACTCCAATGTTGTCACATAGAAAATTGTCGTTGGAAAAGGTAAACACAAAAATGATGGAAACTCTTCCATGAATTTTACAAAGCCCCTGATAATCTTTCACATCTACTTTATCAGCTGCAGTGGGCAAAGCTCAGGCTTAGCTGGGAATCCCTGATAGGAAAAGGTGGGTGCTTTGTGTCATGTGAGTAGTGGGAAGATATCTTAGTCTCCACCATGAGTAAACATTAGTTCTGTGGAACTCTGGTTCCTACACACTCTTCCCAGCTTTCCTAGTGATAGCCAAAGGCAACCCCAAATCTAGGATAGGGGCATCGTTACAGCCCACTGGAACTCAAACTTCTGCTTTGCCTGAGTATGCATCCTCTCTCACCTGCAACCCTCCAGCAGGGTCAAGTCCACCACAGTCAAGACTCCGAATTGTTTTGGAAGGTCATCTTTGCTCTCATGTTGTCCTTTCACAGCTACACTCGCCTCCCTCCTGCTTTAAACATCCATCCTAATTCCATGCATTGGTCCTCCCCTTCTACTATCCCGTCATTTCAAGGACGTTTTGTAACGGAAGTCACAGGGTCCGCACCCATCATCAGCAACTGCTTTCCATCACTTGGCATACCATGGAGGTTCATCTAAGGCTCGTGCTCAGGTGGCTTGTTCCCTGTATCAGTATTGTTCCATGGGATGCAGCAGGAACACAACTGTTTGTTTAACCCGTTGAAGGACATCATGCTTGGGGCTGTGGCAAACAAAACTACGCTAAAATATGCTTGCTCAGGCAGGCTTCTGTGTAAACACGAATGTTCACTTCTCCCGGCCGAAAGGTGGGTGTGTAATTGCAGAATCCTGGTAACTGCACGCTTAACCTTGTGACCTACTGCCCTGCTGTTCTCCACTGCGGCTGCCCCACCTTGTTTCCTCCAGCAGCACACGAGTGAGCCACTTCCCCCAACCCTGGCCAGCTTTTGGTGTTGTCAAAGATGTCGGCTTAAATCATTGCTGGAAGTTTTAATTCAGACTTCACCAATGGTTGTTTAGTAGGCCATCTTCCTCCTGCTTATTTACCATCGTGTATCTCTGTCCTTTTCTAATTTTTTTTTACTGCTGCCAAATTTTATGATTATATATATGTGTATATATATGTATATTATATATATATTCGTTCTAGATACTAATCCTTTGTTGAACATGTGATTTGCAAATATTTTCTCCTAGTCTGTAACTTTTTAAAAAATCCTCTTAGGATGAGCTTTTACACAGTAAAATTTTTACATTAGAGAAATCTGACTTGGCAATTTTTTCTACCATAGACAGTGCTTTTGGCATGAAGCCTAAAGGCTCTTTACATGGTATTATGGTTTAGACCTAAAACCTCTCCCAAAGGCTCATGTGGTAAAGACCTGGTCATGAGTCTGTGACACCATTGGGAGGTACAGCCTTCTGGAAGTGTGGCCTAGTGGGTGAAGTTAGGTCATGGTTGGCGTATCTTAGGGGGCAAAAGGATAGTGGGTCTCTCTCTTACTTTTCTCATCATCTTTATGACAAAATGCCCAACAAGAACCACTTGGGAAGGCCACATTTATTATGCCTCCAAGTTTAGAGTCTGTTGTACCGGGGAAGGCGCAGCAGCAGAAGCAGGAGGTGGCAGGTCACATTGCAGCTGCAGTCAGGAAGCAGAGAGAGAGAGAGAGATGAAGGATGATGCTCAACTCACTTTCCATTTTTGTTCAGTCCTGGACCCCAGTCATGGATGACGTTGCTCACATTCAGGGTGGGTCTTCCTTCCTCAGTTAAAGTGTCTTGGAAACATCTTCATACACACCCAGGTGTTTCTATGGTGACTCTAAAGCCAGGAAAGTTGACAATGAAGTTTAACTCTCCCCTTCCTCTTCTCCCCTCCCCCCCTCCATTTCTCTCTTTCCCCCTGCCTCTGTCCCTCTCTGCCTCCCTCTCCCTCCCAAGGTACCACGGGGATGAACAAATTTGCTCTGCCATGTGCTCCCTGCCACGCTACTCTACCAGGCCTCAGGACAATGGAACCAACCCACCTTGGTCTGAAATCTCTGAAAACATGACTCCAGACAAATCTTTCCTCTGGTTAGTTGTTTATCTCAGGTGTTTTGTGACAGGCAGAAAGCTAACCAGCCCTCATAGGCTTACTACTGAGTAGTTTTTTCTACAATTTTTGTACAAAGGTTTTTCTTGCATATTACACCTAAATCCCTGATCCATTTTGAACTAGGGTATAAAGTGTGGAAGGATAGGTTATATAGATTCTATTTTTTTCTTTTTTTCTGACCTGTTAGAGCAGCAGTTCTCAAAATGTGGGTCATGACCCCTTTGGGGGTTGAGTGACCCTTTCACAGGGGTCACCTAAGACCAATCAGAAAACACAGATATTTTGCATTATGATTCATAACAGTAGCAAAATGACAGTTATGAAGTAGCAACAAAATAATTTAATGGTTGGGGGTCATCACAACATGAGGAACTGTATTAAAGGGTCACAGCATTAGGAAGGTTGAGAACCACTATGTTAGAGACTCAGTTGCTCCAGCATTGTTTGGGGTGAAAGCAATCCCTCCTCCACTGACTTCTCTTTATCCTTTGTCAAAGTCATGGGTGGATGGGTTTGTGTGGGTCTATTCCTGAGTGTATTATTGTTCCATGATCTATGGCCTACCTTTCTGTCAGGACAATACTATCTCAAGCACCATGGTTATCTATAGGTCTTTATAATGGGTAGAGCGAGTACTCAAAATTTATTCTTTGTCATTCTAGGATCTATGTTTTACTATATACATTTTAAACTAAGGTTGTCTCTGCCTATAAAAAGCCTTGCTGGGGTTTTGAAAATAACTGCTTTTGTATTTACTGTTTAAGTTGGGGGGAACTAACGTGTTTATTATATCATTTTTCCAGCCAAAAAGCACAGCTTGAACATGATTTATGTAGGGCTTTCAGAAGTTTCTTTTCAGGGCAGGAGAGGCGACTTAATTAAGAACATTGGCTGCTCTTGCAGAGGACCCAGGTTCAGTTTCCAGCACTCACATGGTGGCTTATGACAGTCCTTAATTCCAGTTCTTAGAGGATCCAACATCTTCTTCTGACCTCCACAGGCATCAGGAACACATGTGGTTCATATATATATACATGTTGGCAAAATGTTCATACATAAAATAAAAATAAAATCATTATAAAAATATCTTTCAGCAACATTTTATACTTCTCAGTGTAGATGCCCTGTATATGTTTTATTAAGTTTACATCTAGGTATTCCATTTTCTTTAGAATGATTAGGAATGGTTTTGTATTTTATTCCCATTTGCATGTTTTGGTTGTTAGTATATAGAAATACAATTCATTTCTGTTAATTGTGACCTGTGCCATTGCTGAATTCCGTTCTAAGTTCTAAAAGTTGTATCAAAGATGTGGGAAACTTCTGTTGAGACTAGCATACCAATTATAAATGTAGTTTAATTTCTTTACTTGTAACAATATACCCTTTGTTTTCCAGTTTTCCCTATTTATGTAAGGTTGACTCCCTGTACTATGTTGAATAATAGTGGCAAGAATGGATGTTACCTTGGTCCTGACTTTTGAGCTGACACATTCAATATTTCCCCACTAAGTGAGATGAATTGTGATTTTTACTTCTGTAAATAGTCTTTACTCAAGTGGAGTTAATTCTCTCTATTCCTAATGTGTTGGTATTTTTATTATGGACAGTGTTGGATTTTTGCCAAGTTCTTTTTAGCATCAGTCGATAGAACTATGTGATGTTTTTATGTTAGTATTTTGAATGACTATTTTTGTGTTTGTTTGTTTGTTTTTCTCTGTATAACCTCCCTGGCTGTCCTGGAATTCGCTCTGTAGACCAGGCTGGCCTTGAACTCACAGAGATCTGCATGTCTCTGCCTCCTGAGCACTGGGGTTAAAGGCATGAGCCACCAATGCCTGGCTGAAAGACTGTTTTGAATATTGAACCAGCCTTGCATGTCTGGAGGAAAGCCCACTTGTTGAATGTGCAATTATTCTTCTACATTAAAGGATGGTTCTTGTGACGATCTTGTTGAGGATTTAAAAATATGTCTTCCTGAGAGAGTCTGGCCTGTGGTTTTCTTGTACTTTCTTTTCCTGGTTTTCATATTAGGGTAATGCTGGCTTCAGAAAACAAGCTGTAGAATGCCATTTTCCAGTTTCATGTTGTTGGTTTCTTCTTTGATTCTGTTACGCCTGGAGACTTCAGTCTGCAGTTGCAATTCTTTAAAACTTTTAAAGATTTATTTTATGGTTCATAAAACGAGTGAGCTGTCTTGATACATATTCCATGGGACCTGGAAAAAGTGTGTTTTCATCTGTTTGGCAGAACGTTCTGGAATACTAGTTATGATCATGTCAGCTGTGTTGTTTTTCGGATTTTGTTGTCGGGATCTTCTTGCTAATTTTCTTTTCCGTGATTCTATCATGAAAGGCTTCACCACAGCTATGAAATTTTCTGTTGGTGTCATTGGCCTTGAGTTTTTACTGCACATGGTTTGAAACACAATTCTTTGGTGCATTGACATTTAGTTTTGTTAGTTCATTCGGCAAATTACACAATTTCCATATTTACCCGCAGTAATTTCCTTTGTTTCTTTAGACAGTGTGCTCATACGACAGTGTATGTGAATGCATGCATTGCATGACTTATCTTCTTACAATTTTTTATTTCCAGTTTACCTATGTCATAGAAGTTTGGGTGGAGTTTTCATTCCTTTATTCTTTTCGTGTGTGTGTGTGTGTGTGTGTGTGTGTGTGTGTGTGTGTGTGCAAGCAAATAGCCTATTGTTGAGTTATTTTTAAAACTTTAGTTTGCCACCAATGCCAGCATCACCACTTACATTTCACGTGACTACTAGTGTGCGGGCACTCAATGTGCCATTTTGTAGTTTCGTTTCTATCTGTTTCTTTTACTGCTGTTACCGTTTCACATTTACTGACTTCTTGGCGGTTACTTGAGCAAGTTTAGAATTCTGTCTTGACTTTTGTTTGAGTCTTTTTGAGTCTACCTTTCTATATAGTGTTTGTAGTGGTTACTTTAAGTACAAGAGTGACAGTTTCCAAACTAATACCAGTGTTTTTGCTTTTAACCGGAGCATGGAAACCTGGGCTGCATGCAGGTTCCTCTTCCCTCCTCACTTTTGAATCTCACTGTGTTGAGTTGTCTGATAGTGTTGTGGTTGTTGCCATCACCAAACACTGTCTGCAGAGCCCCTGAACAAGAGGATTCTCTAGCATTTGGGTACAGATCTTCAAGTTTCCCACGGGTCTTCATTCCTCCCTCACACTCTAACACTCCTTTCCTCATTTGCTGTCTGAAGACCTTCCTTTAGCCAATCTTTTAGTTCCTAGAGATAAAGATTGTTAGCAAAAAAGTCACTTATTCTTTGTTTGAGAAAAAACCATTTTAAAATGTCCCTTTCACTCTTGAGGGGTAACTTTGCCTGATACAGAATTTGTGGTGCTTCTTGCTCTTGACACACTTGTGTGACTTCTTCCTGGCATCCCTGATTTCATCTGTGAGAAACCCACTCCCAGCCTCCCTGATTTCATCCATGAGAAACCCACTCCCAGCCTCCCTGATTTCATCTATGAGAAACTCACTCCCAGCCTCCCTGATTTCATCTATGGGAAACCCATTCCCAACATCCCTGATTTCATCTGTGAGAAACCCACTCCCAGCCTCCCTAATTTCATCTGTGAGAAACCCAGTCCCAGCCTCCCTGATTTCATTTATGAGAAACTCACTCCCAGCCCCCCTGATTTCATTTATGAGAAACCCACCTTCATCTACTTCCCTGTAGGGTGTTATTTTTCTTTCACTGACATCAAGAAATTTTTTATTTAACTGTATTTTTCAGGAGTTAAAATTATAATGCATTTGGTGTGGAGTGATTTGGATTTATACTGTTTGGCAATTTTACAACTTCTTGGATTTGAGGGTTCGTGCCTTTAGCCAAATTTAAACATTTTCAGGCATTGTGTCTTCACATGCATCATCAGCCCTACCCTTTTCTCCTTCCCAGCTGGAACTCCAAAAGTTATGAGCAATTTTAGAATTCCATCTTGACTTATCTAGTCTTTCTGAGTCTGTCTCTTTATAGTTTTTATAAATGTTACTTCGGATAATGTAATATGACTTTGCCACTCTCCTATTGAGGCCACATAGTAAGTCTTCTTGAATATTCTGCTGTTATATTGTTCAGATCTGTATTTTCATGTTTTCACTTGACCAATTTTTTTTTTGTAAGTGGGAGTAGGAGGGAAGCCTAGGATTTGAACCCAGGGCTTCATGCATATTAAGCAAGCACTCCACTCATGAGCTGTATCCTCAACCCTTTAAAAATTTTGTTTTATTCTGAGACAAGTTTTTTCCAAGGTCCCCAGGAAAGACTTGAGGTTGTGACCTTATGGCCTTAGCCTCCTGCTACCTGAGTGGCTGAGGTTGCAGGCCTGTGTTGCAAGGCCTGTCTACTTTTATATATAATATAATTTTTTCTTTCTTCAGGTTTTTAATTATTTAGTCCTTTCAAAAGAATACATAATTGATCATTGAAGCATTTTAATGGTCGCTAAAGTCCTTAATAATGCTGATATTGATTTGCCATGATGTTGCTTATCTTTGCTCATTTGAGATGAGATTTATTGTTTTCTCTGGGCCTTTAAGAACTGTACGCCGACATTTTACATCTTACCAGTTATGTTAGGGACTCTGGTTCCTGTACACATCTTCCCTATCAGCAGTCAGATACTCTGTGTCATATTTAGCTTCAACTGTCAAATTGACACACCTGGGAACTTCAATTCTGGAACTGCCTCCATCAGATCAATATGTTGGCATGTCTGTGGGGAAATTTTCTTGATTTCCAATTTCTTAGGGTGGGTTACTATTGTTATGATGAACCACTATGACTAAAAGCAAGTTGAGGAAGGAAGGGTTTATTTGGCTTACACTTTCACGTCATAGTCCATCACTGAAGGAAATCAGGGTAGGAACTCCAACAGGACAGGAACCTGGAGGCAGGAGCTGATGCAGAGGCCATGGAGGAGTGCTGCTTACGGGCTTGTTTATAATGGCTTGCTCAGCCTGCTTTCTTATAGAACCCAGGTCAACCAGCCTGGGGATGACACCACTCACTAACTAAGAAACTGCCTACAGGCTAGCATCTTGATCTTATGGAGGCGTTTTCTTAATTGAGGTTCCCCCCTCTCAGATGACTTCAGCCTGTGTCATGTTGACATAAAACTATCCAGCACATTAATTGATATAAGGGCTCAGCCTACTGTAGGCAGTACCATCCCTAGGCATGTGGGCCTGGGCTGGGTAAGAAAGGTATCTGGACCTGTAAGCAAGTCAATAAGCAACACTCTTCTCTAGTCTCTGTTTAGTTTCCTGTCTCCAGGTCCTTGTCTTGAACTCTTGCCCTGGCTTCCCTCAATGATAGTCTGTAAACCTGAAAGCCAAAATAAACACTTTCTCCCCACGTTGGTTTGGTCAGTGCTTTATCAACAGCATCAACAAAAGTAAGACTAGAACACTCTGTTTAGGTTTAGTAGGTGGCTTGCCTTGCTCTCCTGTAGGCTCCGGTGTGGATGACAGCCCAACCTTCAGAGCGTTTGGTCTGCGGGGTTTCTCTGGAGCTAATGGGGATGCCATTTGTCACTACTGGTTCAGCCTGAGGGCAGGATTGCTTTCCTGGGTTCTGAATGTTAGATTTTTCTTAGCGTAGAGGTGCCCCCTTTCCCCTTCTCCCCAATGCCTTGGAATTTCTGCACAGTGCAGTCAATGCAGAGAGCAAGAGGTGAGTAAGGAAGGCGACCCAAGCCTCTAAGGACCTAGTGCATCAGTACTGCACAGTGGGGGGTTGCTTATGACAGAAGAGGGATAGAATGCAGACGCACTGAGTCAGGACTATGGAAGCAAGAAAGAAAACGCTCCGAGGGGAGAGTGGCTTGCCATGCCAAAGGCTGTTGACGAGTCACGTCCAAAGAGCACTGAAAAGTTTCCACTGGGTTAGCACGCGGAGAGGTCGTGGGCTGGGGCAGCGCTGGAGGAGTGGTGAGTGTGGAGGTCAGACGGGAGCAGATTTTTAGATGCAGATGTTCCATCTACTTAAGTCTGTCATGGGAGAAATGCAGGAATCTCTAGCATGCAAAACAACAGGGGGCCGAGGGGGAGCACGCTGGCAATCACATTCTTTCCTCCTCCAGCGTCCACCACAGCTACCTTCTCTTGAGTCTTTAGTCCTCCTGGCGGTCCTCCTGTTTCCAGCATCCACATCACTCTACCCACCCTCTTCCACTGGCTCTGCCACTTCATCATCACAGATGCTCCAGGCTCTGCTTGTCTTCCCCACCGAACTGTCAAGCTTCTCTTTTCACCAGTCAGTTAAATGCAAATGCTTAAAGAATGCGACAGCTACTTTTAGAAAGGATTCATCTCCGAAATGATTTTAAAGGTCACTGCCTATTATAGGAACATTTGTTCAGAGAGAAAGAAATTACCAATTCAGTTTCCCCTGGACAGCAATTTTAAGAAATGTTGGCTATCCAGAGCACCTCCCTAAAGCCTACTAAGCAAATGCTAAGAGGGAAAAATAATAAGTGTTCTTACAAGTTTATTTGATGGGTTTTTATTGAGAGCACATTCGTTTTAGCTGGGTCAACCCAAATGGAGTAGCGTTCTATTTCACGCAACTGGAAGACTTTACAGCCGTTGCAGCCAAGCCCTTTCTCAAAGACTCTTTCAGAGGGAGATGAAGTGGCATATTTAGGCTATTTAGAGAGAGAATTATCTGCATCTTTTTCTTCATTCCCTGGATGACTCTGAAGGTGGGTTCCACCAGCTCAAAGGTGCTTCCTCCCGTCCGCCCAAGACAAGGTCTCCTTCTGTAGCTCAAGCTTGCCCAGAGCTCACTGTGTAGCCCAGGCTAGTCCAGAACTCAAAGTAGTTCTTCTGACTCTGCCTCCTCAGTTCCAGGATCACAGACATGAGGCACCCCTGCCCCCAGCGCTAAGGACACTCTTGCTTTAATAATGCATGAGCTTCCATGCACTTTAACTGTTTAAAATGGTGGATGATTAAGGATGCATCTTCCACCTTTGCCACGTGTTATTCCTTCTCTGAAGCTTATCTCTCTTCACTCCATTTTGTTGTTGGAGACGGTCGAACCATATCCAATATGTTTGGATCGAACCCCGCCCCGTCTTCCCTCCAGTTCCTCCTGTACCCTCACCATGTCTCCTTCCCAGCTTCATGATCTCGCTTTTAAACATATTTTTATTACTTCTTCAAGAATTTCCTACAATGCATTTTGTTCCCGTTCACCCATGTTCTCCTAACTCATCCCATGAACAATACTAATCAAGCCCAAAAACTTAAAAATAAGCAAATAAATAAATGGAGGACACCATATTAAGGGGATTATGTAATGGAGTGGTCCCGGAGGGTTTTGGAGGGGAAATCGGGTGATGGATATGATCAAGACACATTATGTACATGTATGAAAGTTAAAAAATAAACTAAAGATACTATTTTTAAAAAAGATAATAAAAATCCAGAAGTAAATTGTAGCCTGAATGGTTTAGTTGCAACAGTCATGCCTGGACCACACACTAGGTAAAGAACAGTTTCTTCAGCCTGTGATACTGGGAAATCTGGATGTCCACAGGCAAAAGAGTGACGTGTGAACCTTACATTACAACTCCTAGAAAATTAACTGAACATTGGTCAGTGACCTAACTATAAGATTTAAATCTATGAAACTCCTCAAGGAAAATATGTGGAAAAGTTTCAGAATATTTGATCTTTCCTGAGTAGGCTACCAAAGACACAGGTGAAAAAAGAAAAGCTGACGAAACTCTCCAACTTTGAAAGTGTTTATCGGTGTCAATATTAGAAACAATAGCACGTCAATGGAAAAAAAAACCAACAGAGTAGAAGTCAACCTATACAAAGAGAGAACGAGGGGCCCGGGGAGATGGCTCAACCGCTAAGGACCGCCTTGTGCTGCTCACAACTGCCTCTGCTCTGTCTCTAACCCACTGGGTCTGTTTAGTGCTGCCCATATATGCACAGGCATGTGGCCATCTGCTGGAGCATGGGCAGCCCATCAGGAGCCGCATCCCTGAAGCAAAAGGACTCCTCTCTTCCCAGTAAGCATCAACTACCAATAGCTGGGCGTGGGACTTCCCCGATTCACGCTGGAATTTTTGCTGTTTCGGTCTTATGCATCCAGCCACAGTCAATGGGAGTTGTTATGTGCCATGGCCTTGTCATGTCTGGAAAGCACTACCTTGAAGCAGTCCCCTACAACATCTGGCTTTCACAGTCTTTCTGCTCCCTCGTCTGTGATTATACCTGAGCCTTGGGAGGAGGAGGTGTGGTATAGATACCCCACTTAGGGCTGAGAACTCTATAGTTTCTGATTCTCCTCATACTCACAAGTTGTGAGTCTGTATTAATGGCCATTTACTGCAATGAACAGATTCCTTGATGACGTTAGAGGACGGCCCCAATCTATGGATATAATGATAAGTATTTAGAAGGCAGTTTGATAGTGTGCCTATAACCAAAATGATGTCTAGAGGCTCTCCCCTAGGGCCTATGACCTTTCCAGCCAAGGATTCTTCACCCAGTAGTAAGCATGAATTCTGTCTTGTGGAACTGGCATTAAATCCAAGCTGAAAGTGGTTGGCTACTCCCATAACTGTTATGACACTATTGTACTGATAGGCATGTCTTCTCAGGCCTGCCACTATTATAGTTCATAGGGTTCACATAGCACCTTCTAGCATCATGAAACCTAGCCAATAGGGAAAAAGCTTCCAGGTCTGTACCAGCTTGATTTTTTTGCGGGGGGGGGGAGTCTATGGGAACCCCTCAACTACAGATAGATAACTGTCGTGGTTTGAATGAAAATGGCCCCCATAGGCTCATAGAGAGTGGAAGGTGTGGCCTTGGTGGAGTAGACATCCCTTGATGGGGGAAGTGTGTCACTGGGGTTGGCTTTGGGGTTTCAGATGCTCAAGACAGGCCCAGTGTCACTTTCCCTGCTGCCTGCTGATCCAGATGTAGAACTCTCAGCTCCTTCTCCAGCACTGTGTCTGCCTGCATGCCGACATGCTTCTCACCATGATGATAATGGACTAAACCCCTGAACCTGTAAATCAGTCCCAATTAAATGTTTTCCTTTATAAGAGCTGTCATGGTCAGGGCTGGAGAGATGGCTCAGAGGTTAAGAGCACTGGATGCTCTTCAAGAGGTCCTGAGTTCAATTCCCAGTAACCACATGGTGGCTCACAGCCATCTATAATGAGATTTGGTGCCAGAACACTGTATAATAAATAAATAAATAAATCTTAAAAAAAAAAAGAGTTGCCATGGTCATGATGTTTCTTCACAGCAATAGAAACTCCAACTAAGACAGTAGCCTATATCTAGTATTGGCTTTCTGTTTGATAGCCTACGGCATGTAGGAGAGACATTATCCTTCTGTATTGGGTAATTCCATTTAAACTTTTGAGATATATGTATTGGAGATATATATGTATATATCTCAAAAGCTTATATATATATATATATGCTTCCAAAATAGGCTTACATATGGATATTTCGAAGATCTTTAATTTTAGTTATCCCTTCTTATACTCTGCTGTCATATTCTCCTCCCCACTTAAAACCTCCTGCTCCATTATCCCCCTTCCCCGTTCATACCACCTATGCTCTACTGTCCCCCTCCATCAAAATACCTTCAATGGCCCCTTTCTAGTTTCCTGGCTTCTATAGGTGCTCCAAGTTAAACACACAGCTCTAAAGGTCCTCTTCCACAGAGGAAAGAGAATGTGCAGTATTTATTTCTTGACCTGGATTACTGTGCTCAGAATGATTTTTTTTTTCAGTTCCATCTACCTCCAGATTTCATAATTTCATTTTTCTTTACAGCTACGTACCACATTTTCTTTATCCTTCTATTGACTGATAGCCTATGCATCTAGGCTGTTTCCATTACGTAGCTATGGTGAATAGAGAAGCAATGGATGCTGGGGAGGGGGGCAAGTATCTCTGTTGTAGGGTAGAGAGCCCCTTGGGTATGTGCCTGGGAAGGGATAGTGTTGTAGAACATTATTTTAAGGTGTGTTACTTTTGTTTATGTTGCATTTGTTTAACTCTGTGAAGTTATGTTACTGTGCCCGTCTAAAATACCTGATGGTCTAATAAAGAGCTGAATGGCCAATAGCGAGGCAGGAGAGAGAAATATGTGGGGCTGGCAGGCAGAGAGGATAAATAGAAGGAGAAATCTGGGAGAAGAGAGATGGAGGAGTGAAAAAAGAAGTAGCCAGAGAAGGAGGAGGACTCCAGGGGCCAGCCACCCAGCTACACAGCAAGCCACAGAGTAAGAGTAAGATTTACAGAAGTAAGAGAACGGGAAAAGCCCAGTGGCAAAAGGTAGATGGGATAATTTAAGTAAAGCTGGCTAGAAACAAGCCAAGCTAAGGCTGGTCATTCATAATTAAGAATAAGCCTCTGTGTGATTTATTTGGGAGCTGGGTGGTGCCCCCCCCCCAAAAGAGCCAAACAAACAACAGTATAGCTGTGTCATGTGGTAGGTTTATTTGTAGCCTTTTGAGACATCTCCACACTGATTTCCATAGTGACTGCACCAGTTTGCACTTCTGCCAACTGTGAATAAGTGCTCCCTGTCTTCACACCCTTGCAGGCCTTTGTTGGGATTTGTTAGCCCTTGTGACTGGGGTAAGATGAACTCTCAGAGGAATGGCTAAGGAGGTTGAACATTTAAAAGAGATTCCCTAGCCATTTGTATTTCCTCTGCTTGGTTCTATAGTCCACTATTGAATTGGATCATTTATTTTCCTGGTGTTTAGGTTTCTATTTTGAGTTCCTTGCATATTTTAGATGTAATCATGTGTCATATGTATAGCCGTGAAGCCTGATTATGAGGTCAGAGTCACCATGCGTAAGTGTTCAATGCTTTCCTGGGGGGAATTGTGTTGTAGCGTGTTTTCAGCAAGGTAGGAACTTTTTATTGACCAGGCACGGTGATGGCTCACTGCAGTGTTACTTCCAGCAGGAGCACCTGGGAGTTGGGTTAAAATGGGAGCCAAACCAGCTGCTTTCCAGGAAACCTCCCGGGAGCTAAATGCTTGTCTTACTTTCTCCTTCTCTCCCTTCTTCCCTTGTGAGAGAGAAAAACACGACTCCGTGAGATAATGCCTCCACCCCAGCAGAGCCAGATACCACCATCACAGCCTGGCCTGGAAATGTCCAGTGTGGTTTCTCCTGAATAAAGACCGGGACCCGTGGCTGCCTGTCATGTGGATCACCACCCCTCCTGGCTACCTGGGATTCCAGCTCATGGCTCACCAGACTCCTGTGGGCAGGTCAGACCTCTCACAGTCTTCCTCCTTCTGTTAGCTTCTAGCTCAAGGCCTCTTTCTGCGGGGAGTCTTGAATTCAGGCAGCCTACCTCCAACCCAGCCACCTTGATCCTGCTTCACACGTCACTCCCCCTAAATGTATACGCATTTCAGCAGCAAAGATTCCCTCTCAGCATGATGCAGAGCTGGGCCAGGGGAGAGTGAGCTGGAATGCTTGCTTCTGCTGCTCAGCCTTTTGGAGACACCCTGGACAAATCTACTCAGTAGCTTCTCTTCACCCTGGGTGGCACATAGCCCTCAGACACTTGGCTGATCAAGCCCATTTCTCTCATCCTATGCACTCGCAGAGTTCTCAAGATCCCCTTGTTTTTATTCATCTGTGGGCGCTCAAGGTGGCCTCGCTGGTATAGAATTTAGATTTCAAGGCTGTTCTTGCACAGGGCAGGATTATCCTTTCAAAACGCAGTCGTGAAATCACACGCTCAGTAGATGGAAGGCTCAGGCATTGGCAAGTGTTTATTCCTAAGTCATCAGTGAAAGCAGCCATCCCCACAAAACAGTCTCCCGTTTCACAATCTCAAGTTCAAAATAGCTTTGAGTAATGCTTCTGGAAAACCCTTTCTTCTGTTTTAATCCTTGACCTACTTTTTCTGTCTGGGCAATATACCCGGTGGATAGAATGATTTCAGAGAAGGCTGTAGCAGAGAAAACAATGCTGAGGGTTGTCTGAAGGGAACGATTAGGAAACCCTCAGATCCAGGGGTAGAGTTAAGGAAGTTCATCAGAAGTATGGGCTGAACACTGTCCCTGTGAAACGAGATTCCACAGAGATGGCTGCTGATGGAAAATCCAGGCACAGGTGCTGACATATATGTGCACACACATTCACAGACCTTCTCTGTTCCTGCCTAGCTCTCGTCTCGTCTGGAGATGTGTTTTCAAAACAGCCTCTGCTAGTCATGGGAGGCAGAGAGAGCATCCTATCCCGGCTTCTGGAGCCTGAACCTGAGAAGGTTCGGTCCAGGGGAGGAGCAGACACCGAACACCTTTCACTCACACACCTCTTTCCAGTGTTGTGTGGTATCCACCAGAGAAGACTACGTGGGTTTAAGCCAATAGAAAGTCTTTATCAGCTGGCTGGTGACCGCACTGGGTGTTTAGGACCCGTGTGCAGTCCTGAGCCTTGCTCCGGAAGGGCTTTTAAGCACAAACCCCACATCCTGATCGGTAGACATCCGCTAGCAAGACCAGTTAGCCAGAAGCAGAACTACAGACTGCACGCTGTAAGCAGCATTGCGCGCACTGGCCCTTGTGAGTAAGACACTGGGAAGCATGGCCTTCTAAACACACCTAGATTTGCTGTGTTTTTACTGCTTGTCCCCCTCCAACACCGTGCTGAAACCGGAACCCCAGTTCATGTGTTGATGGGATTTGTAGGAAGGGGCTTTAAGAGGTAACTGGGATTAAATGAAACCATATCATGGGGTCCCCATGATTCACTAGTGACTTCATGAGAGACTCGAGCACACAAGCTTGGTCCCGCTGTGTGCTGCCTGCCACATTGTTCTGATGTGGCACCAGGGTCTCCCGGTGTATATCAGAGGCTGGCCTCCTAATCCTGGACTTCTGAGGCCAATAAGCCCCTCTTCTTTATGAGTTACCACTCAGTTGTATTCAGTTCCACCGCAGAAAAGGAGTCAGGCAGGGATCTTGGAAAGCATGTGCATAATCCTCTCTCTAAGCCATTTGTCACTTTCCTCAGCGAGATTTCTCCTCTGCAGGCCTCTGTGTTAGAGGAACCATAGGAACCTGCATTTTCGAGATGCCTGCTTGTAAGGAACAGGGCCCTAACAGGATGGCTTCAGGAGCAGACACAGAACTTCTTTTAAAGAACTCAGATTCCGGTTCCAATCCCGTTTCCGGTAACCACCCGCTGTGGAGTCTTAAGAAGCTTCTTCCTACTTCCCAGTCTCTCCATCTGATAGACTCTGGTAATGACACCGAATCACACCTTCAGGGTTGAGAGGGTTAAAGATAACCAACAGAGCTACCGTCTGTGTGCACCTGGATGAATGGTAGTTGTGACCAGAGGGAAGGCACAGTGCTTGCATTCAGGGTGATGCCATCCAGTGACCTTGAGGCAGTTACAAGAGTGCTGAGGTTTGAGTTGAATTTTGAGGCTTCGGGCCCTAGATGAGGACTGGGAACCAAGGCTGTGTTAAAGGGCATGGTGGATGGATGGTGCTGTGGTATGAGTTTGCATCTTGTTCCTGATTTCTCTTGCCTCTCAGTCTCCAACCGGATGTCCGCCGAGTAGCTTTATCTTGTCTTCCTGGCTTTTGTTTTTTTTTTCTGGACTCCTCAACTTCTCAAGGAATCGGGGAGCTTGAGAATTAGTGAATTTCCAAAAGAATGAATGGGTGAAAGTTTTGTTGAATGCAGGACCTCAGAGGACAAATCATGTGGCCCCCAGGGGCTTCACCTCATACCTCAAGAGTCCCAGTGTCAGTGAGAGACCCTGTTCCCATATGGGCTAGACCGTTGGGACTCTGAGTACATGGGAGACTCAAAAGTTCTTTCCCTCACCCCTGTCTCCTGGCTCTTCACAAGATGCCTGCTTCTCATGCTGCTACAATGAGAACTCACTCCTCACACCTAGAGATTAATGAAGAAAAAGTTACTGAAAAGGTACCAGGTAAGCTATTGTTAATGTCCAAAGAGGGGTCAGCCTCAAATGGATTTTACTAACCTATATACATCTTAGGCTTATGCACTTCACATACCCTGAAATCCTTAAATCTCTTATAGGTCCAGCCCCAGGTTACACTTTGAACAATTTAAACAGACACCAGAGACTGCTAGTCTGGCCACTTGGGCAGATGGGAGATTTACACAGCAAAGATATTGCCAGTCTTATTTCTTAAGTACACCAGTGTTGTTCTTTTCAAATAGTTATTGCCTGGGGTCATCTTGCCTACCTGGCAGAATTATGCTTTTCCAAGAAGAGAACTGGGGGTTTTAATGGCAGGCCAGGCCTTAACATTGGTTGTGATCCTGCACTGTCCCCTTAAGCTTAATGGGCTTAATGGCTGCCCAGTTCTGGTGAACATTTACCTCTTAGCATCCTAATTTCCCTCGTCTCTAACAGGCCTGGTTAGCAGACTGCTTCTCCTTGGGGGTATTTTGGAGGCAGTGCTCCCTTTCTTAAATTCCACTGGTGGGACTTAATGTCACTCAAGCAAGCCTATTTACTAGTAAAGCCTTGATAATGTCAACTCTATGACTTCGAGTTTCTTCTACATCAGTGCAACCCTGAGAGAACGGGGCTCGTAGATCAGGACTAAAAGCAGATCTTGGGTCTCTGAGTCGAATTTAGCAGGTTTCAATGTGATGAAATAGAGCTTCACACATCCCCACATGGTCCTGGGACACACCAGCTTCTCTTCCTGGTCGAGGGAGCTGCTTTCCCTGGGGGCTTCTGCTCCTCCAGAGTGGTGAGAACTACTTGGACTTTAGCTTGTCTTCCTGCTTCAGGGAAGGAGTCCAATTCCCAGCTTTACTGAACAGAAACCCCGGTGAAGCCACTAGGCTCAGCAATCCCACTCTGTTGGAGCAGGCATTGCCAGCCAGGGCCACACAGATTTTCTGTGATGGTCTGCAGCTTCTCTCACTATAACACCTCCCCATCCCTAACAGCTGGGTCATCTGGGATGCTCCTAGGTTGACCTCTGGGGTCCTGGGGGTCTCTGCTAGCCTCTTGCTCTGATTACTGCCACAGAAGAGGCAAGATGTAGGGAAGGCTGACTTTAAGGAGCAAGGAAGCACACAGTTAAAGAGGTTCCTGGACCACCTGCCCTGGAGTCAGTAGTCTCTGAGCCAAGACATGGGGCAGCATTATTCATTTACAACAGTTGCCATGACAACATAACTCAGCTTCACTGGCCCCCAACAGCACATAATCACGTTCTCAGGCTTAGGAGGCTGGGAGTCCAACATCAGAATATTAGCAGGCCAGTTTCTTGTCTCTCCTTGGCTTGTAGATGACCACCTTCATCTTCATAACACATTCTCCCTCAGTGCTTTCATTACCCAGCATTTCCTCCTGCACTGGAGAAAGCATCAACTATTCTGATCTATACTTGGGGATGAGAAGGAAAGACAATAGTATGTACTGAGCTGGCTCCAAGAGGCTTGTGACAGTGAGTGGTCTTTCTCTGTCTCTCTCTGTGTGTGTGTGTGTGTGTGTGTGTGTGTGTGTGTGTGTGTGTGTGTGTGTATGTGTGTGTGTGTGTGTGTGAGAGAGAGAGAGAGAGAGAGAGAGAGAGAGAAGAGAGAGAGAGAGAGAGAGAGAGAGAGAGAGAGAGAGAGAGAGAATGTGCATGTTTTCAATCAACCTATGCCATGGTTGTCTATCAACAGAAACAGTGTTATCCTTTTGTGTAAGTTGTTCAACCCCAAACCCAATTACATGCTACAGAGAGAGGGTAGGGGAATGATCTGTAAATAAAGAGCACCCAGACACTGAGAAGAAGAAAGTATTCTTGAGGATTGGAAACTCACGTCCCTAGGCTCTGTTTCCATGAAGAGAACAGATGACAGTCTGGGTTTGGTTCCCGCCTGAAGCTTGGCCAGAGCAGACAAGTATTCAAAGCTGGCTTCTTGAACCACAAAGCTAATCATTCTTGCTTAGAACTGGGTTTTGAACCAAAGGGTCAATTTAAAAAGCAAAGCAGAAATTTCCCCCACAAACTCAGAGAAGATGGATTTTACTTCCAGACCTCTGCAAGATCAAAGCTTCTCACCAGCAGAGTTGGATAAGGATGTGTCTCTCCCTGAAAGATGCTGGTAAGTTCTACATCATGTCCTCCTGACGGCCAGGAAGTCCTATGCTGTATCCTCCTGATGGCTGGCCCTTCCTTCCTCTATGATTTTCCTGGGGGAAGGCAGAGAAAGAAAAGCAGGTCTCAGACTCCTGCTTTCCAGCAGAGAGAGGTAGCAAAGAATGAGGTATCAGTTTACTCATGCCAAAGCGTTTCCAGAATTCCCACTGTCAACAAACATTCCACCAAGGTGCAGTTGTACCTTGGAGGGACTGTGGTGGTTAGCTTATGTCAACGTGACTCAAGCTAAAGTCCTCTGAGAGAAAAGAACCTCAATGAAGAAAATGCCTCCATAAGATCTCTGCAGGCAAGCTTGTAGGGCATTTTCTTAATTAGTGATGGGGGGGGGCAGTCCACTATGGGTTGTAACATCCCTGGGCTAGTGGTCCTGGGTTCTATAAGAAAGTAGGCTGAGCAAGCCATGGGGAGCAAGCCAGTAAGCAGCACCTCTTCATGGCCTCTTCACCAGCTCCTGCCTCCAGATTCCTGTCCTGTTTGCGTTCCTGTCCTGACTTCCTTTGATGATGAAGAGTGATGTGGAAGTGTAAGCCAAATAAATCCTTTCCTCCCCAAGATGCTTTGGTCATGGTGTTTCATCCTAGCAATAGTAACTGTCACGAGGAACAGGGAACTAGGTTTGGAATAGACCTGTATTCTCATCCTATCTCTTGCATCTTCTAGCTGTGTGGTCTTCCACCGAAGACTCAACCTCTCTGAATATGATAAGCTCACATGACCCTACATCATGTAGACAATGGACTTAGAGCCATTTAGATATACTATCAACTAGGTAAATACCAGCTGCATCCAACACATAATATGTCATGTTCTATTTCCATTCAGTTCTATGTCTTTTGAGATCATTTGAGACCTTTTGGGTTTAGAGTTTAGACTAATGTGGATGTGAATACCAGCTCTGCTCTTTGCGAGATATGTAACTTTGGGCATGTTTACTACTCACCCCTTGCCTCAGTTTCCTTATTTGTAAAGCAAGATCAAAACTCTGCCTCTCATAGGGGGTCCCACGGAATGCACAACCAATGAAGGTAGAATTCTTGGGTCCTGGCCTGGCAAAAACGTTTTTATCTTTAGTCTCCCAGTCATCCCCTCCTGGATGTCAATCATTTCACCAGTACCTCTTTCTCTTGGTGCTCATTAAACTGGGCAATTTAAGACCAACAACAATACATTTCCCTATTACACATGTTACTGGATAAATATTCCCTTTGTGCTCTGGTTATCCTTCTATAGCTATCTTTGGTTTTTCTGTTCTTTCCTCTACTCCCCACCTTCACACCCTGCCAGAAGTCTCCAATCTTATACTCTGCCTGGAAGCCAAAGAAGCCTGCAGATCCACCCAAGACAAGATCTGACGTCTCTGAGACTGGTAGACTCAGCCCACACTTGAGCTATGCCATTGTATTGCTCTCCCTCCTTACTCTGTCTCCAAAGAGTCTTGTAAAACATGGCCAACACTGCCTCAATGTTAGCTGGGAGATGAAGGTGATTTATCCAAGTGTGATTATTTTCTGTTCTTTTGTTTTTACCCAACTGGGTCATTTTGATCTGTGGACTTCCCTGACTCATTCCATGGTCAATGTGGCTTTCTCTCCAGATTCTCAGCCACCTCTTTGGGTCGACTCAGGTGACAGTCTAGCGCCTCCACATCCTCCTGTGTGAGGCCACCAATTGTGAACAGAGCACGGTGCAGATTCGGCAGCAGCCCTTACCACTTGGAACAAGGCTGCCAAGTTACTCGTTAAATTAGAATTTCAGAAAAACAAGCAGTAGTTTTTTAGTATAAATACATTCCAAATACTAAAAGAGATACACTAAAATGTTTTCTTATTTATCCCCAAACTTAAGGCTTCCTTACTTGTCCGAAACTCATATGCAAATGGGCGTCCTATGTTTTCTTCACTAAAGGAGGGAATCCATCTCAGAGATGCCTATATAGAGAAAGGCTCGCATGCCTATATAGATGTTTTGACCAGCTGAGTATTGATTTCACTTGGGGGATAAGAAGGTTGTGATTGGCTCTCATTCTGCTCTGGGCAGGTAAATGGGAGTGCTGGTGAATTTTCAAGAGTTAGAAATGGGGGCTGGAGAGATGGCTCTATGTTTAAGAGCACTGGTTGCCCTTCTGAGGACCCAGGTATCAACACCCACATTGTGGCTCACAACCATCTAAAACTCCAGTTCCGGAGGATCCAATGCCCCTTTCTGGCCTCTGCAGGCACCAGGCACAGACAAACCTGCAGGCCAATACCCATATTCACAAATGAATTTTAATTAAGAAAATAATTAGAAATGGTTCGTTGCTTGCGTCTTTCCCAAGCTGGCTTTATTTAGTCTCATAACTGCCACCTTACATGTCCTTCTTGGTCCTGGCTCCTGGCTCCTGGCCCAGACTTGCCACTCAGTTTGGGAACTTAATGTGCATCTATTGGTAGGTTGTTTAGTGAGATCTCTGCCTTGACACCTTGAGATCAGAGTGAGGTACAGAGGCAGTCAGTTTTCAATCATGGTGACCAGATAACTGAGCTAATTAACTACAGTAGGGGAAAGGTTTATGTGGCTCAGGGTTTGGGGGGTTTTGGTCTGTGGTCAGTTGGCTCGTTGCTTTGGGGCTTGTGACACAATGGTACATCATGGTGGGAAGCTTCTCACTTCCTGGCAGGTGGGAAGTGAAAGAGAGAATAGGAAGGGACCAGTGTCCCAATAGCCACTTCAAAGGCACACCCCAATGACCTAACTTCCTCTCACCAGGCCCCATCTCTTAAAGGTTCCATTATCAGCCAGATAAAAACACAGGGCACTAGTGACCAAGCCTTAACACATGGCCTTTGTGGGGGCATTTCAGATCTACACTACAGCAGTAGATCACTAGAAACGCCTTTGCCCCCAGCCCCTGGTGACTGCACACTTGGGAGTCACAAACCTTGCTGAGTGACAGTCAACAAGTTGCACAAACCTTCAGAAGCAGTCTCATAACCTGCAGAGAGAGAAGGGTCATGAACAGAACAGCCGACAGCTAAGATTAGAGATCTTAGTCCAAATGTGGGCAGGGGACAGGAAGACCTGCTTGGTAATGTAATGCACCATGGCTCACGAGCAATGTAGAAATGTTCAGGGCTCTCTCATCCTGGGGCAGGATGTTCCAGAATGCCTTTCTTGTTAGGAAAGGAGGGACAAATCTTCTCATCTATCTCCCACATCTCACAGAGGGCAAACTATGCCGAGGATCACCTGTCCTCATGTATAAGTCATGTCTGCTTGATCACAAGAAGCATAAATAGCCACACTACATCAGTTCAACATGTATACTGAACACCTACTATGAGGTGGGTGGAGTATTAGGTTCATAGTCCAAGGATGAGGAAGCTATGGTACTTTCTTTCAAGAGGTCACATGTCCAGGAGGGAGAAAAACCTGTGAGGGGATTATTTCAGCTCTGTAAGGTAGGTTCTGTGGATCCCCAGACACTATCTAGGCACCAACACATGAGCTACCCAGAGTACATTCTCAGCCCTCCATACACATAGATGCCAAGAAGCATTCAAAACATGTCATTCCAAATCTGTAGTCTAAGTGTGGGGTGCTATGGCAGAGTACCATGGACTGGGCGGTTTACGATAATACCTTTATTCCTCTCTGGTCTGGAGGCTGGAATTCTGAGCTCAGGGCCTACGTGGTAGAGTTCTGGTAAGTTCACCCTTATAACTTAATTGCCTTCCAAAGGCCCCTCCCGATGCCCTCATATTGGAGGCCAAGGTTTCCACATATAATTTGGGATTCCTAAATTAGGGGGACATATTCAGTCCATCACACCATGAGACTGAGCAGAAATCCTTTTGTTAGTAGCCTACATCTTCAGAAAATAGCTCAGTCTACCCAGCCTCCCCGCCCCTCGCTCATAGAAACCCAGCACAGGAAGTTATTTATTCAAAGTCTCAATACCCATAATGCCCCTGTGTTCCTCCCCCCTCCCCTCGCATTTCTTCTCATCAGCAAACTCCTTCTGCCTGGGATAGTTTGGACTAATTACTGAGCACTGAAGTATTTGTTTTTTACATATTGGCTCTGCTCAGAACTGCCAAAAAAATGTGAAAAGTGGGACCAGGGTGGGAGAGAGAAACATGTTTTATTTTTTCATTATTTTACCTACAAGATTCATTTGGGAAGGGGAAAATCGGCCTGCTGCCCTAGCTAGTTAGTTGGATGAGAACAAATTCCTCATTAATTTTAACTGTGTCAGCTGGAGAAGGCGAGAAAAGTGAGAATGACTGAGGAGTGGTGTTCCTGGGAACTGGGCTGGTGTCCCCAGCCACTTCTCACCAACGACTCTCCAGGGAAGGCAGGACCAGGGGGACACCCAGCAAGGACAGCCCTAATGTGATGCTTGGCAGTGGGGTCCCAGATAACAATACTACAACAGTGGTTAGGGTTTGCTGGGTGAATCTGAGTGGCTTGGGGAGACCGAAACAGCCAGGGACAGGGGTGGGGAGAGCGAGGGATGGGTGGGGAGAGCGAGGGGTGGGCTAGTGCCTGGTGTTTGCATCTGACCCTGCAGGCAAGCTGCAAAGTTGTGTGCAGTTACTAACTCATTGGCCTTTTCCTTGCTCTTTAAGGTGGGAAGGCTCACATTTGAGAAAGGGATGCTACAGGGTTCTTTGAGCAGCCTAGAATTCTAGCCCCATGCATGACCAGGGAACCTGAGGTTCCCTCTTTTGGGTTCTTAGTCTTGTTAGTAAAAGAATTTAGAAACAGAGTCAGAAGGAAGCTCGGTGACAGGTTTATTAGAGTTCTTGAGGGAAAACAACCCCGCAGAGAAACTGAAAAATCCCAGCAGTTGGCAGGAGGAGGGAGAGGAAGAGAAAGAGTGTTTGCCTCTTGAGTTAGAGTCCCAAAAGAGTGGGTGGGCTCAGTGATGGAGCCCTGGCAAGCATGGTTGAAGGTTTGGGAGAGAGCTTCAGTGAATGAGTGAGAGGTCCAGCACGTAAGGGAGAGCATGCTCAGACTTTGGCCAGCATCGGGAAGAAAAAGAGCAAAGGGAAAGTTATGCTTTGAGACATGGTCGAGCTCTTCTTGGAGCTACACAATGGAAGCTCTGCCAGTGTCTGTCCTGGGGAGGGGCTTCTTAGAACAAGTGCATTGTCTCACTAAGGTGATAATTAATCCTCCCCTTCCCATAGTATGTCTTCAGGTGAGTTAGATTTCTGGGAGTTGGGGAAAGTGTGGACTCCTGGCCAAGTGATTGACAAGTTCATCTAGACCCTTAAAAGGAGGAGGCAATAGTATGCAATGTTTTGGGTAGTTTAGAATGTTAGGTGTGTACCCAGAGCCTGAGGAAGAACTTAGATCGTATGAACAACAGGAAGTAACTTTCTCTTAATGGTCTTCAACAGAGCCCAGACACCTCCACCTTTTTACAAGATAACCTAAATCCCAAGAGTAGTCAAGTGGATGTTTACCTTTCTTGTGCTACTACAGAAATGGGAGGGGGGTTTTGTCCTCAATGACCTCTAAAGCTGTTAATTCCATAAGATATACTACCCTGAGCAGCAGGTCAGTGTCTGAAAATGTGAAAAGAGGCATGTGAAGGAGGGGTGTCTAATAAGCCAAGGGAAGCTTTCTCTGTACAGCCAACCCCCCAACTTTCAGTCTAGATGATCAGGTCAGGGGTAGGCATGTGCTGTGTTTGGTGTCTCCGAAAAGTCTACATATTGAAGAATTGATGCTCAGCCTGAGGTACTATTGGGAGAAGGTAGGACCTAATGGGAAATCATAGGCCATTGGAGATTGGAGATGTTTCCACAAAGGGACTCTGGGCTGCTAGTTCCCTTCTCTTTGTTACTTTTATTTCATGGATGCCTCTCATCACAGGCCTAAAAACTATTGGACCAACCCACCATGGACTGAAACCTTAAAAATTATGAACACAAACACAACAGGCTGATGTAGTTATTATTTGTCATAATAATGCAAAGCTGACTTTGTATGGTGTAGAGAGCCGTGCACGGCCGCGCCTCAAAGATGGCGCTGGCATATGGCTTCCGCCTTCCCGATGGCAGGTGTTCTCTGGGATAAACAACTCCTTATTTGGCTTGGGCGTGGAATCTGGCTTGCTTGCATATGTCTGACCCTATCGGCATTATCCACGTGGCATTACGGGGTTGATTGCCCAGTGGCTATAAAGGGCGTGGACTGGCTTTCCCCGGGAGGAAGATCGGAGGAGATGGAAGATCCGAGGAGGAGATAGGAGATGAGAGAGAGAGAGAGAGAGAGAGAGAGAGAGAGAGAGAGAGAGAGAGAGAGAGAGAGAGAGAGAGAGAAGAAGAAGAAGAAGAAGAAGAAGAAGAAGAAGAAGAAGAAGAAGAAGAAGAAGAAGAAGAAGAAGAAGAAGAAGAAGAAGAAGAAGAAGGCTTTCCCCCGGGGTCAGAAGATTGTTCAAGGTTCCTGAATAAACTGCTTGGAGAAGAGCCTGGTGTTGCGTCTTCCTTGCTGGTCGAGGCGGACGCGACAGTATGGGACCTAGACTAGGCCAATTAGATTTGTCCATGTTTCTAGGTATGGGATTCAAGATGGAAGAGTCTGTCTGGGATGTTTCTGAAGACAGGAGGAGAGATACTTCTCATGGGAAGGCCTTG